AAATTGCCGTTATTAGTTGTTATCATCCCCATGTGTAGCGGTGAGACTGTCCCACCTACCTCCTAGTAGGTTTAAAGGTATATTATTATCGCTGATAATAGGCAGTGTCACACAGGGGTAAACCAGGAAGTGTCTTTTTTTTTTTTTTCAGCTTATGTAACCCTTTTCCTAAACCTAACCTTACACCTGTCCCAGAGGACCAACCCTAAACTTAACCCACTTACCCTTGTGCCTAAACCTAACTAAGACCCTAAACTTAACCACGTGAAGCTTTTATGAGTGCTAACAAAAGGTAAAAACGGAGCCTATTATCATCGCTAACAACGCTAACAACGTACCTTTAAACCCACTAGGAGGTACAGGAGGGGCAGCGTCTGACCGCTACATATGGGGATGACAACAACTAATAACGACCATTTAATGGCTGATAACATTCGAAGCGGGTGGTCAAATCTTTAGATCTGTTACAACCTTTTAGTGCTCCTTTCACATTTTGTTCTGGTTCAGCTTCTTTCAATTTCCTTGTGCAAATTTAAACCTTTCTCAGCTACTTTAAGCTGTTTCTTCAGCTGTTTTGTGATCCTTTTAGATTATTTCTGCTAAGTACAACATGTTGGTGCTTCTTCTAACTTCTTTCTGCTAATATGCTCTTCTTGGCTTATTTCTGTAAGTTTCAGCTATTTTAGCTATTCCAACTACTGTTTAGCTGTTTATGTGAATTTTAGCTTTTTCAGCTAATTTCAGATCTTTTGCAATAATTTCAACTTTTTTCAGCCTAATTCAGCAAAAACAAAAATTGCTCTCTCCAATTTCTTCTGGTACCTTAAACTTCTTTCTGCTGTTTTAGCTAGTGTTCAGCAGTTTTTTTTCCCTAATTTTAGCTTTTTCAGATAATTTCCACTTCTTTTTGCTTATTTCTGCTTCTTTCAGCATATTTGGGCAAACATTCTTTCTGTTTTCTTCTGCTAATTTAAGCTTGTTCAAACTTTTCAACTAGCTTTATAGCATTTGCAGCTAATTTTAGCTGTTTTCATATAAATTCAAGTTTTTCATGTAAATTTTTGGCCTAATTAACTTATGTTATGCTAACTTCAGCTTCTTATCCTCCTTTCAACTATTTTCTGCTATTTTCAGCTTTTTCTGCATTTTCAGCTACTATTTAGCTATTTTGATGCTATTTTTAGCTTTTTCAGCTAATTCCCTTTTTTTATAGCTCATTTCAGTTCTATCTGCTTCCTTCTGATAGTTTAAACTTGTTTTTCCCTTTTGAGCTACTTTTCAGCATTTCTTTCTTGCCAATTTCAGCTTCTTTTTTTAGTTTATATCCTCATTTCTGCTTATTTAAATCTAGTTCAGAAAATGTGTGTTCTATCTGCTTTCTTCTGTTAGTTTATGCTTCTACGTTTATTAATTTCAGCTGTTTTTCAGCAAGTTCTTCTGCAGTAAGCGTTCACACTGCATTTTCGAAAGAAATGCAATTTTTCTAGTTTTATTTAACTTTTTTGTTGTTAATTTTTCCTCACTTAACTTTGAAATAGTCTTCTGAATTTTCCATGGGATTTTTGTTTAGTTAAACTCCAAATCTTATTTTTTTTTCATCATTTTTTGCCCAACAATGCTCAAATAAATTCCTAGAGTTTAGTAGCTTTGAGTACAACTTCACTAAACACAACAATTAAAGCAACATTCTGAAAATTTTAAACCTCTGGCCATTTGGGCATACTTTGTTGCTGTAAAGCATGCAGAATTGATCCCTGTTCGCTCGTAATTACCAACAATCTGCCTTTGTGTTGCTTTAACTGTATGTACATTGTGCTAGCCTGCAACTTTTCATTGTGGATAAACCACATAAAAATTCACGTTTTTTTTTCCCTCCTTTTCTGCTCTTATATAATTTTATGTCGTTCCGTTTTTCTACATAGTTCTTTTTTTACATCCATCTTTTAATACACAAATTGAAGATAAAATAAGGACAGATCCTCCCACTCTTCCCCCTCCATAAATAACATGCCCGGGCAGAGAGCTTTGCTGCTCTGTTATACAAGATGGCCTAACTGTGGTCCGAGGACTTTTCTGCCTGCCTGACCACTATGTCAGCTCTTATGTTGCCACGCTCGGTCACACTTAGCAACTGGAGAATCGGGGTCTAAGATGTGTTGTTTTTCTTGTGTTAAAGACTACCAAGTTGGTGTGAACTTAATGATTTATGGCCACAGTCAGGCCTACTTTTAGGTGAGGTTTATGTCTTTTTTCTTCATCCATACCGAAAACATTGATGGAGAGTCTGTCTGCCGTGAAACAGTGGTAGACGAGAATGTAATTAGCACAAGCGTCTATCTCACAGGTTTGGTAATTGCTTACAACCCCTTAGGCTTTTCTAAAAAAAGGAAGCTTATTATTCAACTTTTGAGGAGATTGCACCCTATTTCGACCTAAGAAGACATTATCTCCTGCAGCGTGGAAAACCTTTTCCTTGGCAAGGAAACCAAAAAATAATCGGGAGGAGCTGATGTTGACTGCTTATTTACTCAGGCGAGAGTGAAGCCCAAAAACGGGCATATTCAACATTTTTGTGTTAGGCCAACTAAAACTAAGCACATGGTGACTCTAAAATACTTACATGTGTAATTAATGTATACTGGAAAGATATTTAAGTCATTCTACATTCCATTGTATTACATCTTTAAGAGTATATGTATAGCTTGATGCTCCAGAATTATTTTTATA